TCTTCTTGCTGTCCAAGGGACTCTCAAGAGTCTTCCCCAACACCATAGTTCAAACCCATCAATTCTTCAGTGCTCAGTTTTTTTTTTATGGTCCAGCTTTCATATCTGTACATGACTACTGGAAAAACCATAGCTTTGACTAGATGGACCTTTGTTGGCAAAGTACTGTCTTTGCTTTTGAATATGCTGTCTAGTTGGTCATAGCTTTTCTTCCAAGGAACAAGTATCTTTTAATTTCATGGCTGCAGTAATCATCTGCAGTGATTTTGGAGTCCAAGAAAATAAAGTCTGTCACTGTTTCCATTGTTTCCCCATCTATTTGCCATGAAGTGATGGGACAAGATGCCATGATTTTAGTTTTCTGAATGTTGAGCTTTAAGCCAGCTTTTTCACTCTCCTCTTTCACTTTTATCAAGAGGCTCTTTAGTTGCTCTTCACTTTCTGCTATAAGGATGGTGGTATCTGCATATCTGAAGTTATCGATATTTCTCCTGGCAATCTTGAGTCCAGCTTGTGCTTCATCCAGCCTGGCATTTCACATGAAGTACTCTGCACAGAAGTTAAATAAGCAGGGTGACAATATACAGCCTTGACGTGCTCCTTTCCCAGTTTGGAACCAGTCCATTGTTCCATGTCTGGTTCTAACTGTTGCTTCCTGACCTGCATACAGATTTCTCAGGAGGCAGGTCAGGTGGTCTGGTATTCCCATCTCTTGAAGAATTTTCCAAAGTTTGTTGTGATCCACACACTCAAAAGCTTTAGTGTAGTCAATGAAGCAGATGTTTTTCTGGAGTTCTCTTGCTTTTTCTATGATCCAGCAGATGTTGGCAATTTGATCTCTGGTTCCTCTGCCTTTTCTAAGTCCAGCTTGAACATCTGGAAGTTCTCTGTTCATGTACTGTTTGTTGCAACCTAGCTTGGAGAATTTTGAGCATTACTTTGCTAGCATGTGAGATGAGTGCAACTGTGTGGTAGTTTGAGCATTCTTTGGCACTCCCTTTCTTTGGGATTGGAATGAAAACTGACCCTTTCCTGTCCTGTAGCCACTGCTGAGTTTTTCATATTTACTGGCATATTGAGTGCAGCAGTTTCACAGCATCATCTTTTAGGATTTGGAATAGCTCAGCTGGAATTCCATCACCTCCATTAGCTTTGTTAGTAGTGATGCTTCCTAAGACACACTTGACTTCGCACTTCAGGATGTCTGGTCTAGGTAAGTGATCACACCATCGTGGTTATCTGGGTCATTACGATCTTTTTTGTACAGTTCTTCTGTGTATTCTTGCTACCTCTTCTTAATCTCTTCTGCTTCAGTTAGGCCCATAGCATTTCTGTCCTTTATTGTGCTCATCTTTGCATGAAATATTCCCTTGGTATCTCTAATTTTTTTGAAGAGATCACTAGTCTTTCCCATTTTTAAATAAGGGTGTTTGAAAGTGAGTTTGTATGAGCTGTTTCTATATCTTTAATATTAGCCCGTTATTGATCATGTCATTTGCAAATATTTTCTCCCATTCAGTAGGTTGTTTTTTTCATTTTGTTGATGGTTTCCTTTGTTGTGCAAAAGCTTTAGGTTCTATTTACTTGTTTTGCTTTGTTTCCTTTGCCTTAGGCGACAGATTCCAAAAAAAAAAAAAAAAAAAAGACTGCTGTGATTTAGGTCAGAGTGTTCTGCACATGTTTTCTTCTAGTTTTATGGGTCCCAGTCTTACATTTAGGGCCTTAATCTCTTTTGAGTTTATCTACTGTTTGAAATATCTATTTGGCTGTGTCAGGTCTTAGCTGTGGCGAGTGGCACCTTCATTACATCATTCAGGATCTTTCCTTGCAGCTAGGCAGGCAGTCTCAGTCGTTGCAGCGCCTGAGCTTAGATTCTCTGTGGCATGTGGGACCTTAGTTCTCCGGCCAGGAACCAAGACCATGTCCTCTGCATTGCAAGGCAAATTCTTAACCACTGGGATACCAGGTAAGTCCTTTTTGAGTTTATTTTTGTATATGGTGTACGAAGATGCTCTAATTTCAATTCTGAATGATATCTTGCTTGATAGAGAATCCTAAATTATAGGTTTTTTTTTTTTCCTTTCCATGTCATGCCATTTCCCTTTTGACCTGCAAAGTTTCTTTAGAAAAATTAGCTGATAGCCTTTTGAGGGGGTTTCTTTGTGTGTGAGTCTTTTTCTCTTGCTGCCTTTAGAATTGTCTTTAACTTTTGCCATTTTAATTGTGACATATCTTGGTGTGGGTCTCTTTGGATTCATCTTGTTTGGAACTCTGTGATTCCTGAACCTGGATATCTGTTTCTTCAGGTTTGGGAAGTTTTTAGCCATAATTTCATCTTTCTTTAAAACCCTTTTTTCTCTTCTCCTCCTGTGAATATTAGTGTGCTTGATCTTATCCAAGAGGTCCCTTATTCTCATCTTTTAAAAAATTTTATTTTTGCTATTCTGGTTGAGTGATTTCCATTTTTCTACCTTTCAGACCACTTATGTGTTCTTCTGTATCACCTATATGCTGTTAATTCCTTCTAGTGTGTTTTTCATTTCAGTTATTTTACTCTTCAGCTCTAACTGGTTCTTTATGTTTTCTAGTTGTTAACAGTTCTGCATTCATGTATTCTTTTCCTTGATTTAGATAGCACTCTTATTACAAATGCTTTGAAAAAACAAATGCATTGAACTCTTTAGGTAGTAAGTAATCCCTGCATCATTAGGTTTTTTTTTTTAATAGGAGTATAGTTGATTGACAATGTTGTGTTAGTTTCTGGTGTACGGTAAAGTGAATCAGTTATACATATTCACATACCCACTATTTTTTTTTTAAGATTCTTATCCTATATAGATAGGCTATTACAGAGTACTTAGTAGAGTTTCCTGTGCTATTGTGCTATTACAGCAGGTTTTTTCCCCTTATTCACTTGAAACAAATTCCTTTGTCTCTCATAAGCAATTAGGTGAAACAGTTACTTGTGTAGGAGCATCCCTGTGCAAACTCTGTGTGCCAGTGGCTTTGATGGGAGAGCTGAATTTGAAATGAGCACAGGTCATGTCTTTCCCCAGGGTGTGCTGTCAGCTGTCATCCTGGTGGAAGATGAGGCTGGACATGCAGGGGCCAGAGCCAGAGCCCACTCTAAGCCAGTGCTTATCTGCTGAGTGGCTGACACCACCCTACTGGGGGGTCGGAGAGGGTCCCAAGGCACTAGAGCAGAAGCCCTGAAGCTCAGGTTCCCTCTGAGGGTACACTCTCTCCCATCCCAGTATTGACACCTTCTCCCCAGAGGCGAGGAGTGTTGAGGCAAGAGGGGCAGGAGCAGGGCTCATCGTGGGTGGGGCACACGCAAGGGTAGTTGTGGGGAACCAGCTAGAGCTCTGGGCAGTTTCAGCCTGCTTCCTCTGCCTTGTTCCTAGGAGTAAGCGAGCACATGCGCGCTCTTCACCAGTGCGGTATAGGTTTCTCACATATGTGTGTGTGTTCGGCTGCTTCAGTTGTGTGTGACTCTTTGTGGCCCCATGGACTGTAGCCTGCCAGGTTCCTCTGTCCATGGGATTCTCCAGGCAAGAATATTGGAGTGGGTTACCATGCCCTCCTCCAGGGGATCTTCCCAACTCAGGGATTTAACCCAGGTCTCCCGCATTGCAGGCGGATTCTTTACCACTGAGCCGCCTGGGAAGCCCTTACTTAGAATTCCTGTTAGTCTCAGTAGTTTTCAAACCTGCTCTGGAGACTCCCAGTCAATCCTAAAGGAGATCAGTCCTGACTGTTCATTGGAAGGACTGATGTTGAAGCTGAAGTTCCAATACTTTGGCCACCTGATGTGACGAGCCAACTCACTGGAAAAGACCTGATGCTGGGAAAGGTTGAGGATAGGAGGAGAAGGGGGCGACAGACGATGAGGTGGTTGGATGGCATCACCAATTCAATGGACATACATTTGAGCAAACTCCAGGAGATGGTGAAGAACAGGGAAGCCTGGCATGCTGCAGTCCACGTGGTCACAAAGAGTCAGACACGACTGAGCAACTGAACAACAACAATAGAGATTCCTGGTATCAGACCCCAGGGTTGGGGTGTCCCCATATATGGTTTGAACTGCTCATTCCTCAAGGAGAATCTCTGAACCCATGTAACTCTCCTCCCTCTTCTGTGTCTCCTCCCAGGAGTATGGGTCCTGACCTCATTGTTTCTGTTCCCTTCTAGCCAACACTGTGTGGGTCGAATCTTTTTTGCCAGTCTCCAGCTTGTTTTCAGTGAGGACGGCTCCACCTGTAGATGTGTGTTTGATGTATTCTTAGTGGGAGATGAGCTCAGGGTCCTTCTCTGTCATTTTCAACTCCTTCCAGGCACTTGTGCTTTAGTTATATTTTCAAGTCCTAAAAAATCAGGTTATTTTTATATTGCCCTTGACAATCTTATTTTTCTTTTCGTCTGGATCTCCTGATAATCTGTTTTTAATTTGAGGATAGTTGCTTTACCATCTCATGTTGCCTGACAGTATTTTGACACAGGGAAAGCAAGAACCACCTCCAGAGGTTTTAACCGCTTTCTGCCAATGCCTCTTGCTTTCTACTTCCTCTCTGGGCACAGAGACGCTGCAGAGTTGATTCTGTTTTTCCTTGTTCCTGAAATTCTGTGACATGAAAAGGTCACTGTGAAAAAAATGCAGCCTTTTGTTATCCAGTCTCTGCTTTTCCTTTGGCCACTCTGGCTGGCCGTGTGGACAGTGGGTGTCACCCACACTTCTGGTCCCCCAAATCCCCTGGGCCCCCCTCCAGCCTTGCCCTCCATACCAAAACTTTTGGCTACTCCTGTTGAATGAACAAAATAACCTTCACGTCAACTTTAAGGTTTTCAAAATCCATTTAAGAAGAAATTTCTTTTCTAATCAGAGATGGTGGTTGAAATGGAAAAGAAGCCCATTCTAGAGAGAAGACAGGCCAGACAGCGGAAGCATACTCTGTGGTGAGACGCCGGCCGCCTGTGACCTGTGCGCCGTCGCTGTCGCCTCACTTCTTGCCTCCCTTCGCCTTGCCCTTGCCTGCGTCCGGCTTCCCCTTGGCATCTGCCTTTGCCTTGGGTTCTTTTGGTTTTTTTCCTTCCGGTTTTCCTCCTTCCCCTGTTTTTTCTGGAGCCTTTGGCTTTTCAGCCTCCTTTGGTGGAGGAACCAGCACATTCCTTTTGATCTTCTTGCCTTTGAAGTGTTTCCTTTGAAGACAAACGTCGACTAAAGCAAAAAGGGCGGCCACACATATAAAGACCTGGGAAACAAAAAAGAATCCTCGTTACTTGGGGGCTTTTCCTTCCAAATGTCAGAGTTCCTTCCTGGCTTCCATGATCAGTCGCTGCTGCTTAACCCCTCCCATCGACCCCTCAAGCTGCCAGATCCCAGAGAGACTTCCGCTTTGCCCCCGCCCCGACCCCCCACCACTGGCCTGAGCTTCCTTAGCTGAGCCCCATCCCTTCTGTCCGTCACCTCAGCGCATTTTCTTTTTCTCTGCAGACCCGGCTAGGGTGGGGCCCTTTGCTTTGGGGGTCCGCAGGCCGCTTTGAAGAGGAAACCATTAGCTAGGTGGGCTCCCTGGACATCATCTTTATTTAAATGGCTTTTCCACGAGAAACACCAACTTTACTTTCAAACTTTGCTTGGATGGCAAAACTTTGTGAAAACAGGGTCTTTTCCTTCGGGGAAAATAACTAGTCTCCCAAAGTGCTGATTTCCGAGCAAATAAATAGCCCAATGTGCAAGACTCACCACAGCGGCAACGTAGTTCAGTGGCACTGTTTGCCGACTTCTGATAGCAAAGATCGCGGCCCCCACGAGGAAACCACAGGCAAACAGGTCGTTGAGAAGATCCTGAAACCATGGGAGAGATGTCAGCTCTCAGCAGGGCTGAGCCTCCTTCAACAGCTGCTGGTCTAGCTTCCGCCAAAGGGAATGGTTTTAAAAATGGCCGAGCTTCTGCCAAAGGGAATGGTTTCCAAACTTCTGCCTCGTCTAAAATGTGTGTATGTGTTAATCGTCACCAGGCTCCTCTGTCCATGGGATTTCCCAGGCAAGAATACTACAGGGGATCTTCCTGACCTAGGGATCAAACCCATATCATCCCCTGCATTGTAGATGGTCTCTTGCATTGCAGGCAGAGTCTTTACCACGTGAGCCACCAGGGTCATGATATAGGAAGGTACATAGGAAGCTGAATGTATAGTGGGTTAGGGGGACATATCTGTAGTTCAACAGCTGGACTCTGAGTTGAGACACAAAGTCCGGGATGCTTATCTGCCGTTATGGGCTGCCTTGGCTACTATCCTGTGAAATTGCACATTTGGTGGCTATGTTTTTAGCTATGCTTCTCCCCACTTCCAGTGCTCACTTAAATAAATTTGCAACACCCAACGTCTTTCTACTATTGGGGCCAGTGCCTCTTTCTGAATCCAGGGTGGGCTGCATTGCTCACAGGAGGTTCTGTTGGACTCTGGTCCTTCAGTTGGAAGCCCGGCAGCAGCATCTTAACTCTCTGCCCACTCCTCCCCTGAGCTTTTGTAAGGCCATATCACTTCTTCATCATCCACCCTCCTCCCCATCCCTTGTGGCTGCAGTCCTGCCCTTGCTTCATATCTGTTTCCCTGACCCTATACTGACAAGGTCCAGATGTTCCCAGATTGGGCAAAAGGGCTGCCTCCTATGCTGTCTTCCCCTCAAGTACCACCCATGTGGCTCCCTGGCACAGCCAGACTTAACTCAGAATTGGTCGAACCAGGGCTCCAGGAAGTTGGCTTTCTCCCCATCACTCCTGAGGCCCAGAGCTTGTGCATCCTCTTAACCCTGTGGGCAGTGGCTGACCCTGCAGAGTTGGGCAATGCCATCTTTCCCCTTGATTTCTCTGATGCCATTTTCTGTGGGTTGTCCTTCCCTGGCCACCTTGTCTCAGGCCTTTTCTTTTCCTCTTCAGTGTTTTGGATTTTAATACATTTCAAACATACAGAAAATTATAGAAGGGCCCAACCCTACTCCCACCTCCGCCGGCCATGAACCACTGAGATTAAATAGATGTTAATGTCTTGCAGTATTTGCCTCATGGCCCTCAAAACAAAAAGAAAAAAACAAATGCTAAACAAAAAAGCTTTGTGGGATGAGCCAGTTTCACTATTCCATACCTCTCCCTGCCTTTTGCATGACTTCCAAGTCTACAGGTAGTCTTCCCAGATGTATAGCAGTATTTTCCTCTTATTTCGGTTCAGTTCAGTCGCTCAGTCATGTCTGACTTTTTGCCACCCCATGGACTGCAGCACACCAGGCTTCCCTGTCCATCACCAACTCATGGAGTTTACCCAAACTCATGTCCATTGAGTTGGTGATGCCATCCTACCATCTCATCCTCTGTCGTCCCATTCTCCTCCCGCCTTCAATCATTCCCAGCATCAGGGTGTTTTCAAATGAGTCAGCTCTTCGCATCAGGTGGCAAAAGTATTGGAGTTTCAGCTTCAACATCAGTCCTTCCAATGAACACTCAGGACTGATCTCATTTAAGAGGGACTGGTTGGATCTTCTTGCAGTCCAAGGGACTCTCAAGAGTCTTCTCCAACACCACAGTTCAAAAGCATCAATTCTTCGGTGCGCACCTTTCTTTATAGTCCAACTCTCACATCCATACATGACTACTGGAAAAACCATAGCCTTGACTAGATGGACCTTTGTTGGCAAAGTAATGTCTCTGCTTTTTAATGCTATCTAGGTTGGTCATAACTTTCCTTCCAAGGAGTAAGCATCTTTTAATTTCATGGCTGCAGTCACCACCTGCAGTGATTTTAGAGCCCAAGAAAATAAAGTTCTGCCACTGTTTCCACTGTTTCCGCATATATTTGCCATGAAGTGACGGGACCAGATGCCAGTTTCTTAGTTTTCTGAATGTTGAGCTTTAAGCCAGTGTTTTCACTCTCTGCTTTCACTTTCATCAGGAGGCTCTTTAGTTCTTCTTCACTTACTGCCATAAGGGTGGTGTCATCTGCATATCTGAGGTTATTGATATTTCTCCCAGCAATCTTGATTCCAGCTTGTGCTTCATCCAGCTTGGCATTTTGCATGATGTATTCTGCATACAAGTTAAATAAGCAGGGTGACAGTATACAGCCTTGACATACTCCTTTTCCTATTTGGAACCAGTCTGTTGTTCCATGTCCAGTTCTAATTGTTGCTTCCTCACTTGCACACAGATTTCTCCCATCCAAGTACTAACCAGGCCTGACCCTGCTTAGCTTCCGAGATAGCACACAGATTTCTCAAGAGGCAGGTCAGGTGGTCTGGTATTCCCATCTCTTTCAGAATTTTCCACAGTTTGTTGTGATCCACACAGTCAAAGGCTTTGGCACAGTCAATAAAGCAGAAATAGATGTTTTCCTGGAAGTCGCTTGCTTTTTTGATGATCCAGCGGATGTTGGCAATTTGATCTCTGGCTCCTCTGCCTTTTCTAAATCCAGCTTGAACATCTGGAAGTTCACAGTTCATGTATTGGTCAAGCCTGGCTTGGAGAATTTTGAGCATTACTTTACTAGTGTGTGAGATGAGTGCAATTGTGTGGTAGTTTGAGCATTCTTTGGCATTGCCTTTCCTTGGGATTGGAATGAAAACTGACCTTTTCCAGTCCTGTGGCTATTGCTGAGTTTTCCAAATTTGCTGGCATATTAAGTGCAGCACTTTCACAGCATCATCCTTCAGGATTTGAAATAGCTCAACTGGAATTCCAACACCTCCACTAGCTTTGTTCGTAGTGATGCTTCCTAAGGCCCACATGACTTCACATTCTAGGATGTCTGGCTCTAGGTGAGTGAGCACACCATTGTGATTATCTGGGTCGTGAAGATCTTTTTTGTATAGTTCTTCTGTGTATTCTTGCCACCTCTTCTTAATATCTTCTGCTTCTGTTAGGTCCATATCATTTCTGTCCTTTATTGAGCCCATTTTGCATGAAATGTTCCCTTGGTATCTCTAATTTTCTTGAAGAGATCTCTAGTCTTTCCCATTCTGTTGTTTTCCTCTATTTCTTTGCACTGATCACTGAGGAAGGCTTTCTTATCTCTCCTTGCTATTCTCTGGAACTCTGCATTCAAATGGGTATATCTTTCCTTTTCTCCTTTGCTTTTCACTTCTCTTCTTTTCACAGCTATTTGTAAGGCCGCCTCAGACAGCCATTTTGCTTTTTGCATTCCTTTTTCTTGGGGAGGGTCTTGGTTCCTTGTCTCTTGTACAATGTCATGAACCTCTGTCCAGAGTTCATCACTCTATCAGATCTAGTCCCTTAAATCTATTTCTCACTTCCACTGTATAATCGTAAGGGATTTGATCTAGGTCATACCTGAATGGTCTAGTCATTTTCCCTACTTTTTTCAATTTAAGTCTGAATTTGGCAATAAGGAGTTCATGATCTGAGCCACAATCAGCTCCCAGTCTTATTTTTGCTGACTGTATAGAGCTTCTCCATCTTTGGCTGCAAAAAATGTAATCAATCTGATTTCAGTGTTGACCATCTGGTGATGTCCATGTGTAGAGTCTTCTCTTGTGTTGTTGGAAGAGGGTGTTTGCTATGACCAGGGCATTCTCTTGGCAAAACTCTATTACTTTTGCCCTGCTTCATTCTGTACTCCAAGGCTAAATTCGCCTGTTACTCCAGGTACTTCTTGACTTCCTACTTTTGCATTCCAGTCCCCTATAATGAAAAGGATATCCTTTTTGGGTGTTAGTTCTAAAAGGTCTTGTAGGTCTTCATAGAACCATTCAGCTTCAGCTTCTTCAGCATTACTGGTCGGGCACAGACTTGGATTACCATGATATTATATATTCATAAATAATATATACTATTTTGTGTTTCAAATTTCAATAAAAGATGTATCTTATAGCATGTGCTTTTCAAACTTAACAGGTTTTGAGATTTACCCATCTTGAGAAATAGATTAGATTGAGATGAATGAGACTGAATTTATTAATTTTAGCTGGTGTATGAATAAACCAAACTAGAGACATTAGGGTACTTCTGCCTTTTAGGAAATTATTATTGCCAAATGTGTCTGCAGTGAACACTTTTGTCTGTGCCTCTGATGAACATTTTTTCCTTGTTGAGGTGCTGTCAAACCTTTCTCTAAAGGACCTGTGTCAATGTTCACTTATGCCTGCAAATGTATAGGGGCTCCTGTTTCCCATGTCCTTGCCAAGGCCTAGGATTACAGTCTTATTTTTCTTTGCCCATCTGATGAGTTGAAATGGTACCTCGTTGTTTTACCTTTCAGATCACTGGTTACTAATGAAGCATTTTTAAAAACATGTTTTAGACATTGGGGTTTCCTGTCTATTCATAGCCCTTGCCCCATTTTTCTATGGGCTTATTTAAAAAATTTTATGATGTCTTCTTTTGTAAAAGTTTTAACTTTAATGATATACATGGTTTTTCTCTTTTTCTCATGGTCCCAAGTGCATGTGTGCTCAGTCGTGTTGTGTCCAACTCTTTGTGATTCCGTGGACTGTAGCCTGCCAGGCTCCTCTGTCCATGGGATTTCCCAGGCAAGAATGAACATTTATTCAATACTCCATTCAGCTATGTTATGCCACCTGTGTCATATGCCAAGTTGCCATACGTATATAGGTCTATTTCTGGGTTCTCTCTTTTTACTACTGTATTAGTCTGCTCACGTTGCCATAGACTGGGTGGCTTAAACATCAGACATTTATTTTCCTACAGGTTCCAGAGGCTAGAAGTCTATGATCAAAGTGCTAGCAAAGTCAGTTTCTGGTGAGGACTCTTCCTGGTTTGCAGATAGCTGCCTTTTCACCATTTTCTCAGATGGCCTTTCTGTGGTGGGCAAGGT